TATATCGCCCCCCTCTCTTTTTTGTTTTTTTTCCCTCTCTCTCTCTCTCTCTCTCTCTCTCTCTCTCTCTCTCTCTTGCTTTTCAGTTTTCCTTTTTTCTCTATAAAATTACCTCAAGTATAGTACAAAATTCATATTAAAAATTTCATCCGGTCAATAAAGATAAACACTATGAATTTTTGATATTTCTGTTATTCAAAAAAAAAAATTTCTGGTACTATGCATTCGGCTCATTCATTTAACAATTTTGAATTACTTTAATTTTTTGTTTTTGATTTGATAGTCGTTGGTGACGTGATTCAAATGAATTTTTTGAAAAAAATAAAATAATTTTTGCGTCAATTCGTCACCTTTCGACACATCTGTATTTATTTAAACATAAATACAGAATACCGTTCCATTAAACATCATTTTTAATCATCATTTAAAAAACAATTTTCTAAAAATATCTTAAAAATTTGATACAATCGATTTCATTGTAATTCAGAGAAAAGAAAAAAAATTATCATTGAAAATCACCACAAAAGGTCTGTTTATTGTAATTTTTTTCTTTTTATTTTATTCCCTTTTTTTTATTTTCCCAACACCATTATTACTTGTCTACCACTAAATGAAAACATAAAAATTTGATTATCAAATTATAAATAATCGATGATCGATGAATTATAAATATTGAAAAGGGAAATATTTTTATTTTTATTTTTAAAAAAGACAATTAGGTTATAACCAAATGATCGTCATCATTCAAATGTATTGAAATGCACCTCATACATATTTGAATGAACAAAACAAAATCAATTATTTAATTATAATGAATAGAGAAAAAGAAGAAAAAGAAATTCAATATTTGTCTCTGACAAATTTTTTGGTTGTTGTTGTTCGAATCAATCGTCTATTTGACATTTTGTCAAATCATATATATGTTTTGATTAGAAATCTTTTTAACATTCTTTCTTTTCATTTATTCATTCTAATGGTCAAAAATGTTTAATCAATCAATTCAACCAATGATGATGATTATCATCATCATCGCCATCCTCATCACCATATATAAAAATGATCAATATCTACTAACAAACGTCATTATTTTTTTTCTATTTAGTTTAGCCGTAATGCTGTTTGAAATTTAAAAGAAAAAAAAATTCCATTTTATTTTGTTAGTTTTTATATATATCTTTTAAATTGATATAATTTCCAGTTTTTTTTATATTCTGTGAATATAATTTCTAATTTGTGCATGTTAAATTCCACCGTTTGATTGGAACCTTTTTTTTGAAATTTAGTTGTGAAAAGAAAAACTACAAAATTGACAAAATAAAAATGGTACATTCATCATTATCATCATCATCGACAATCGATCAACAGCAAAAACAACCAACGGCAATATCGATTCGAAATTTTTATAATGGAAAATCCATCTTTCTAACTGGTGGCAGTGGTTTTATTGGAAAAGTTTTAATTGAAAAATTATTATATTCTTGTCCAGAAATTGAACGTATCTATTTATTAATACGTCCAAGTCGTGATGGTAAATCACCACAACAACGTTTGGAAGAAGAGGTTATCAAATCCAGAGTATTCACCTTTCGTAACAAAGCATTTGATTTCAGTAAACTTGTTGCCGTTAATGGTGATATGACAAAACCTCGTTTAGGTTTATCTGATTCTGATTATCAAACACTTATCGAAAATGTATCGATTGTATTTCATTCAGCTGCCACTGTTCGTTTTCATGGACCATTAAAAAAATTTGTCACTCAAAATATACATGGTACCGAATCGGTCATGAAATTAAGTCGTGATATGAAAAAATTACAGGTAAATTTTTTAAACTTTCAAAAATTTAGTCTTTTGTTAACTAAATTAAACCCTTAGACTGTTGTATACGTTTCAACTGCTTATGCAAATTGTAATCTAATTGATGTTGAAGAAAAAGTTTATCCATTAGCCGATGATATTGAATCACTGATCAATAAAATTATTAATGAAGATAGTGATGAAGCACCGAGTGATGGTCATCCATCATTAATGGGACGTCCAAATTCTTATACAATTAGTAAGGCTATTGCCGAATGTTTGGTGGCTTCAAAATATTCTGATCTACCAGTTGTTATCTGTCGTCCATCCATTGTTTCACATGCATATCGTGAACCAGCCGAAGGTTGGTGTGATAGTCTTAATGGTGTTGCTGGTGCTCTATTACTTGGTGGTCTTGGCATCGCTCGTACGATGGAAAGTAAGTATTACTTCTTTTGCATTTTTTTTGAATTATAAGCAATAAATTCTTATTCAACCATTCAAAATAGTGCGTTGTGATTACATTTCCGACATTATCCCTGTGGATTTTGTTGCCAATTCATTGATTGTAATTGGCTATCATTCATCATTGTATCCAGAAAAAAGACCAAAAGTGATACATATAACTTCCGGGCATAAAAATCCAATATCATGGGCACAGATTTTAAATTATTCACGTATGGCTGCAGTTAAAAATCCATCAGTTAAAATGGTTCGACCTATTGCACAAAATCCGATAAGTGCTGGTAGTTTTGTCGGTCGTGTAAATCATCGTTTAACAATGTTCTTCTCTCACATATTGTTCGCTTATATATTCGATTTCATATTGTTAATTTGTCGACAAAAACGTGTCATGGTTGATGTGACAAACAAAATGCATCGCGCACTTGAAGTACTTAAACATTTTACAAATCATCAATGGTTTTTTCGTAATGATAATTATAGTAAAATATTTCAATCATTGCCTGATGATGAAAAACATTGTTATCAATCTAATGTTGAGGCAATCGATTGGACTTGTTATTGTAATGCATTGTGGATGGGTTCACGACGTTATCTAATCAATGAAGATGATTCAACATTAAAAGATGGTATTCGACGCCATAAAATATTAAAATTAGCATATGGATTATTGGATTTGTTTATTTATACAATTATTTTGTCTATATTTGGCTATATTATTTCATTATTGATGCAACCAAACATCACAATTGGCTGAAACAAAACAAAAAATCTGATCATTGATCATTTTTATTCATTTTTATATATATAATTTAAATATAATTAACTATATTGATGGGATAATCGATGAGAAGAAAATATTTACAATCAAAATTTCATCGACAATCAAACGACGAAAAAAATCAACATGAAAATCATTTTATTGAATAATATTTTTTTACTGATACATGAAATGATTACAATTGATAGAATCATTATTTTGTTTTTTACTATTTTGGTTAACAAACACACACACACAAACGATCTAGATTGTTATCAAATTAATTATAATTAACTGATATTAATAATTTCTATAGATTTATAATGAAATATTTTCTTCCTCTTTTTTTTGAATTGGGATTTAAATAAAAACAACACTAATACCACAAATAAATATAAAATAAAATGGTCGAATTGGAATGAAATGTATAATGATTATTTTTTAATTATTGGATTTTCAATCCGATCATTATCCTTTTGAGTTTATATTTTTATCATTTTCATTATTTGTCGTTTGATGTGATTTATTGCTTTGTTTTTCTTTTGATTTAATAAATAGTGCTGCCATCCTGTGTCATTCGAACCAAAATAAATGTGTTATTTTTTTCAAAAATAAAATTCATACATGTAATTAAGTAATCGGTTTGTTGCTTGCTATTTTGTTTCAGGAATATGAAAAAAAAATTCAATGATTAATGAAAAGATATATAGTTTTGTCTTTGTTGAATGAAATTGATGATATCATACCTTTATAAGCAACCGGTTGATTTACATAACATAATTGTTTATTATATGTATTATCTACATTGAATTCAATTTCATCCAAATCATACTGAATGGGAAAATATTTTTTATTTAAATATGAATTTCGTTTCACAATTAATTAATTAATTTATACCTTTAAACGTAAATCCGATATTAAACGATGATTAATAATATTTGTTCTAACAATACGATGATTTAGCTGTTGAATTGGACGAAAATTATCCTGATGTCCATCATTTTTTAATGATGTACGAAGTTGATGTAATTGATGTCCACTAATATATAATGGTTTATTCATTATAATCCATTGAACCGTTTCAAAACAGGCAGGCTGTGTTAATGATCCTTCATATGTAACAAATTGTTTTGTATCTGGTAATAATTCTTTTAAATATAATCGATTCAATTGTTGAATATCACCTTTAAATTGAATAAGAAAAGAATATATTCATTTTGAAAAAAAATATCAATCTAAATCGATAGATTTTTATTTGATTCAAATATAGAAATTGATAAAATATTGAATTTGTTTAAAGTTTGCGTGCATACAAAAGAATCAAAATATAGATCAAATTCTGTGTGTGTGTGTTTTGGGGAAAATCCGATTATATCGATGACTATATTCGTGATTTTATTGTTGGACAAACAAATTTCTTTTTTTGGCCAACCAAAAGTGGATGAATGGATGATGATGAAAAAAATATAGAAACGAAATGTAATCAAAATGTTTTTTCATCCATTCATTCATTCATTCATTTTCGACCATAGTTACGGTTATAGTAAGTACATTATATTCTCAACAATGTTCATCACACACTTGTATACGAAGGATAATTAAATCATCGTTTGATTTTAGTAAATAATGTACATTGTTCATTTTTATTATTATTATTATTATTATTATTATTATACAGATATTATGTTTACTTAATCAACTACTTGTATAAAATTGTGTGGTGTATTCATGAATTTTTCTTTTCTGGTTGCTTAGCGGATTTCATATTTTGTTCTATTCTTGGATTTCATTGGAAATTTGTTGTGCATAATTTCCAAAAAAAGAGAGAACCAGAAAAAAATCTTTTTTTTTGATATGATTTAGTCGCCAGGGAACAATGTCCGATTCGAACAACAACAAAAAATACATTCATCAAATTGATTGTCTTGATATTTGTGGTCGGTCGCATGTGTGTGTGTTTGTGTGTTTGTATGAAATTGATTCTAATCATATATTAACAGAATTGTTGTTGACTAATTCAGAAACAAACAAACAAACAAACATTGAATTTATGTTTTTTATTCTTATTTTTTCACAATCAATAAACATTCTTCTTGTTAATTTTGATAAATATAATAAATCGGTAACTTTCCAATCCAATATCAGTATTTTTTCCACACACAAATGAAAATCATTGATATTGTTTTGGTTTGCCAATTCTTTTCTCGCTCTCTTGCTATTTTTTTTCGATCCAGCTGTTGATGGATCATCATTGAAATCAAGTAACTTGAATATATACGATGACGATGAACTGAGAAATAAACTATGTGATGATGATGATGATGATGATGATGATCAAAACATACAATATCCAAATAGATATACATGAAGCATATGGTGTTTATCATCATCATCATCATTATTATATAGGAAATTATTGAATTGAAAAAAAATTTTTGTTTTTTTTTAAAAAAAAAACCTTCACATGACAAAACAAATTCATTCAATGTTTGGAATTGATATGTGTGTGATCCGAAGAAAGAGGAAAAAAATCTGAAAGAAATTCTTAAATTCGCATTCATTGGTCTTTTTTTTCTTGTAAAAAAATCAATTCTGTGTCTATGTGTATATGCGACAGACATTATTATCAACTCTTCATCATTTTTAAACTGATAATTAATATTGATACAAAGAATTTATTAATTAACGCTTCAACACATCATCTTCATTTTCATCACCATGATGATGATAATGATAAAGAGAAAGAATAATGATTCAACATCTGTTTCATAACATTCAAAAGAGAGAGAAAAAAAAATACAGTGATTGTCAATTAATTTTTTTTTCTGGTCTTTTTTTTCGATGCCGGTCTATCTCTCTCTCTCTCTCACACTTTCACATTTCCCTAAACAAAACGACTAAAGAGTTAAAGAGTTAATCGAATGACATACACAAGGGAAAAAAATGATTTCCGATATCAACAAAATTGATTGAAGAAAAAGAAGATTGGATTTTTTTAATAGAAACTTTCTATTTTTTTCACTTTTATCAATATTAATATTTACATACCTCGATTGCTAATATTTTTAAATGAATTAATCATTAATTTAAGCTGTACATTTGTTGACATATTTTTTGTCATTTTAATCATTGTTGAAATAGCAACTAAACCATTCGGTGAACGTTTTGCTTCCGACCAATTTGAATATAATTGTCCATTATAACCATAAAATTGTAATTCACCTGAAAATTGTAATTGATTTATACTATGTTCTGATCCACGATTATTTTCACGTCCAAAATGTAATGTTACATTTGATAATGTATATTGATAACTAAGTGGTCCACCTGTAATTATAATTGATTTTTCTTGATCAACTTCAATATTAATACTACGTCCAGTATTGATTAATTTTCCATCAATATAATCTCCTTTTATATTAATTTCATTTAAATATGGATCATAGATTAGTAATTCGGTATCAATATCAATTGGTGATTGTCGTCGTCCTTTACTACAATGTGACCATTTTGGATTAAGACGACCCCAAAAATCTGGACCTTAATAATAAAACAAAAATCATTAACAAAAAACCAAACAAAATTTCAATGAAATCAAAATGGCAACAACAACAAAAAAAAATGGTTAATTTGTTTCTCTTCATTCTTTGCTTTTCATCACATTATTAATATACAAAATAACCAAAAAAAAATAGAATATTTTATTTCATTTTTTTGCTACAATTTTCAGTTTCTTCATCTCCCATTTAATGTTGTTTGATTGTTTTATATGCATTTGACATGTATGTCAATCACACAATCATTATTTGTAGAATTACATTTCATTTATTCATTCAAACAAACAAACAAACATACAAATTTATTCGTTGTGTATTGTCGAGGGTCAACCTCTTCAACAACAACAAAAAGCTAAAATAGAAAACAAAAAACATTTTCAATTATTGTCAAAATAGGAGAAAAAAAATACAGAACACAATATTCTACAAGTGTAATCAATGTTTGAAATACATGAAAAGTTAATCGGGGAGAAACAATAGTCGTTTCTAATTTGGATATGTTGTTTTCTTCCTGTTTTCTCTCATCTTAAATGGCGGAAAATCAGAAAACAAAAACAAAATTAGACTGGACTGAAGAATGTAATTACAACACCCACAAACTGTCCGATGATAATCTTGATTTGGCTGGGTTCATCATCATCATTATCATTGTCGTTGTCATTTTCATTGTTTACAACAGAAACAATAAACATTCCTTTTGGGGTAACAACAAAAAAAAAATTGATATGAAAATTTCTTTGAAACTCATCATCATCATCATTCAGGAAAAATAATAATAATGATGATGACACCTCCTTTGATATCATTAAAAAAAAATCGACTGAAATAGAAATGATCATCAAAATATTTGGATCATAGTCTATTTCTGTATGTTTTTGTGTGTGGTGGTGGATAATAATGATAATGATGATGGGAAAAAACTAATTAACACTAGCCAGAATCCTAGAAAAAAAACAATCTCTTCATGATCATTGCATTTGTTCATTTAGTGATTTTGTTGTTGTTGTTGTTGTTTTTGTCAATAATAAATTTGTTGAATAGAAAACATTAAAATTCTTTAATTTTAATGTTTTTCAATAGTTTTTTTGCTATGTTTTTGTTTGTTTGTATAAAATGTGTAATGATGTGTGATACATACCTGAGATTCCTTCGTATGTCCACCATGAATCCCAATCGGCCATAACCATTATCGTTGTTGTTGTTGTTGTGGCTGATAATAATGATCTTTGTTGTTGATTATTAATGTTAATTCTATCATATCTATTATGATGATCACAATGATAAGCTATTATTAATATTATTAATAAACGATCAATAATAATTGATCTTGAATTATTAATTATATTTCGATATAATGATAAATTGATAATATTCATTTTTTTCATCATTATCATTAAAAAAAGATGATGAATGATGATTGATTTTTAATTTTTCAATTTGATTTATAATAAAAAAGGTAAATTAAATCAAATGAAACAAAATTGACCAATAACAATGTAAATGAATGACACAATATTATACACAAGTTGCATATTGATGGAATTTAATATTGGCACCTGATAACAAACAACACAATTATATTATTGATTCATAACACAATCCAAAAAAATAATTGATGAAAATTTTTGTTTGAAAATAGATTTTCATTATATTTGGTGTTTGTTCACGCAAATTGTTTCAATTCAACATACAAACAAACAAACAAATCATTTGATGATCAATAAGTGTACAACGAGTGTTTGTGAGTGTTTAAGTAAAGATTGTTTTTTTTGTGTGGACAATTCCATAAGCTAGTTTGTTTAGTTGTCTTTTTTTTTTGGTTACCCTTGTTTTTATCAAGTATATCAAGCATCAATTTTTTTCATTCTTCTTTACCATTCGAGGTTCGATTCAGAAACAAACTTGAATTCTTTTTTTCGAAATATTCGAAATAATTTTCGGGTGCGCAGGATTCTGGCGCGTTCTTTTCATTTTGATTTAGGAATTCTGTTTTTTTTAACAACTATGTTCGTTCAGTAGCCATCAGCCACATACATTCAAGTGATTGGATTGGTTCATTTTTTTCTTTCCATTTTTTTTGGTGTGTAGGTGGGGGTGAGGGGGCAAAAAAAAAAGGTTTCCAACCAAATAAATAATCATTCACATTGGGCGTGATCATCTTGTGGTGGTGATGGTCGACAAACAAGAGAAAAAAATGAAAAACCATCAAAGAATTAGAATTTTTCGAGAAGAAGCTAAATTCTTCATTTTCATGTTAGATTTGTGTTATGATGAAATAAATTTTCAGCAAAAAAAAATGAAGATTTAATTATCGAATTCCATTCTAAAATGGAAATTTGTTTATCTAAACAAATGGAAATCGGGAAAAATGTTCACAGGTTAAGTTTGTTTTTTTTCCATTTCTCTCTCTCACTGGATTTACGTGAATAAGTTGGTGCGTGTGACACGGATAAACATATGTCAATTTTCGTTTTTTTGTTGTTGTTTGTCATTGATGTCATGATTTGAATTCGAAATTCGAATTGGGGTGGATGAAATAGAATTTTAGAATGATTTAAAAAAAAAATGTTTTTCTTTCTCCTGTTTTGACACTAAAGTTTTTTTGTGTTGTTGTTGAAATAGAAAAAAAAATCCTTGAAGAATCCCAAACAGCAACACCAAAATCTTCATTGATTATAAACAAAATAATAATTTTGTTTTTCACTAATTAGTCGAAACTGATTAAAATAAACCAAAAAAAAAACTAAATTTTTGAAACAACGATAAATATTGAGACAACAAAAAAAAAAGTTGAAAACTTTTAAACTTTCACAATGAATCTTTTTATTATTGATTTTTTTTTCATTCAACTCAACAAACACCCGTAACATTGATTATCATCATTGGATTCTAAATTTGTTGTTGCTGATGTTTTTCAAAAAAAGTAAAAAAAAAATGATCGAATCTAGATTAAAATCGAATCTGTATGGTAAAAATGGTCAATCATTTTACAACACAAATGAACATTGAACATTTATTATTGGATTCTTTTTCTTGTGTTCAGAAAAAAAGAAAAATTTGTTAACAATAAAATGAATTATCATTTGTGCTCTCATATATAGTATATTAAGTACCTTAAATGGCCCGAAGGCTATATTTGACGAATGAATGAATGAATGAATGAAAAATCAGAATTCAATTATAAATACAAATTGAATAAAAACATTAATCGAAAGAATTCGAAACTAGCCATAACCATCATTTATCCAATCATTTATCATTGGAAATATTCGAAAGATCAATGATGAACAATAAATTCCTTCAACAAATAAAAAAAATCATCTCTGTATATTGAACAATATTGAATTGTGTGTGTGTGTATGGTGTTGTTGTATTTGATAATTCAGTTTTCTATTCACATTTTTTTTTACTATATTGTTTTGTTATCATTGAAATTACAGTTTGAAAATTTCTTTCTGTTCACAGTAGATCAGAAGAAATGAAAAAGAACAAAACAAAACAAAAAATTGATACAATAATTTACTTGAATAATTTGTATTTAATAGAAAGAAAGTAAATATAAAAAAAATACTGATAAGAATAATAAAAAGAAAAGAATGGAATCGAAAAGATACTCAAAATACAATCGTTATCATCATCATCAGCATGTTATTAAATGATGATGATGATGATGAAATCTAATATTTCAATGAAAAGGAATAAAAACTCTTGTCAGGAGCTTATTCATTCAAATTTGTTGAACAAACAATTGGAAAAAAAAGGGTAACCAATTCTCGTTTACGAATCAATTCATTTTTCTTTGTATCGATTCTTATTCTGTGAACATGAATGAACAACCAAAAAGAACAATGTATCAATAATCAAAGCAAATAGAAAATTTTAAACTTTTCAAATATTTAAATCGAATTTATTTATTTTTATGAAAGAAAAAAAATTAATAATTGATTTTATCTGAATACACCGGAATGAGAATCTTTGATTTGAATTTTGATTTTTGAAATTTTGAAAACAAAAATAAAAATCCAAAATGAATTCATTTACAGAAAAAAAAATATAAATGACATTTGAAAAATCAAGATTTTTGTTTTGTTTGTTTACGAACACATTCAGAAAATTGCAAACGATTAGAATTTTATGCAAATTTTTGTTTGAATGAATTGAATGAAAAAAAACAACAAAGTTAAAAGTAACAGAATTGGAAAAAAAAGAAATGCTATTTTTTTGCATAAATTTTTTTTTTGTTTGTTTGTTTGAAATGTTTCATGGATCGTGATCATTACCATTGTATTTTGTTTAATTAAAGTTTATCACTTTTTTTTCGGTAAGAAAAGCAATAATGAAAAAAAAATATCGATTCACCAGGTAAAATCAATTTATTCTTCCTTTTTTTTTTGTTTTTCTGTTTTGTTTGTGGCTAATTTTAATCATCAGATTTGGATTTATGTTTGTTTGTTATATCAATTTCAACTTTATTACCAAAATATTAATTTTTAAAAAACAAAACTTTGGAGAAAAAAATTCTATATTAATGCATAATCAGCATAAATTTTCGTACTTTTTATGCACAAAGTGAATGAGTGAGTGACTTTAAAAAAGAAATTCTTCAACAAATTGATATACTGAATTGAATTTGAATCAACGAACCGAAAGTATCATTGTTGTTTCTTTTTTTCTTTTCTAAAAAATTTCCTTCTGTTTTTCCGAAAACTTTTCCGCTTTGCTTGTTGTCGTTTTCTTTCCTTTCTCTCTCTCTCTCTCTCTCTTTCTCGCAAAATAGGTTGATATGGAAAAAAATTCAATCCATTTGAATCCGATGATGTTGATGATGAATGCACAATTATTTTCAAGTGTTTTGCATTTTGATTCAACGAAAAACAACAACAATCATATTGTCGACCATAAGATGATTGAGCATCTGTTTTTAAATATTCTTTATTTTTGTCTTTATTTTATTGTTTTTTTTTTGTTTTGGAAATATTTTTTTTTCTTGGTTCAACTGGTTTGAATTGTTGTCAGTCAGTTTTTTGCTGATTTTTGTTTATTATTTCGAAGAAAAAGAAAAGAAAAAAATTTGGAAATTTCTCTATCCCGAATGAAAGATTCTGGATTTTCATTGGAAACAAAGAAAAAAAACACTTGCATATCAAACACAAGCATCTTATTAGTAGCAATTGAACAGTTATATCTGACAGTCAGTCATTTTAACTGAATTTTTCTGAAAAAATATTTTGATTCGATATGCTTCATAGAATTATTTCTTTTTGGTGGGGTAGACATTCTGATACAGAATTTAATATCTAAAAGCTAAAGAACTAAAGAAAAAATGATGATGATGATGATGGTCAATTCAATCAATCATTAGTAATCATTGTAATAATGATGATGATAAAATATGTCAATACCAATATCATATTGATTGATAAGATCGATCGTATTTAGGTTCAAAAAACAAGAAAGAAAAAAAAACGATTCTACAGGATCAGGTGTATTGAATCAAATAGGCGTTTGTGGTTGTGTTTGTATGGAATCAATATTTTATTCAAATTTATTCAACTTTTTTTTCTTGATAAAACATAATCAAAAACTTGATCCAAAAAAATGCTTTTTTTCTTCCATTATACATGCATAAAGTGTTGGTTTTTGTTTTTTTATCAAATAAAAAAGAAACTTTTTTTTCTCGTGATTATCAACGATAAGACTGATATCATTGAATTTTTTTCTTTAATCATTAAATATAGATGAAGTGAACAACAACAAATAAATCTACGTGGCCATAATATTTTGTTGTTGTTGTTGTTTTTTTCTTGACAGCATTAACCACAGAAAAAAACAACAACGATGTAACCATGGATTATTTAGAAAGTTTTCAATAATAATAATAAAGTATTTAGATTTTAAAAAAGTAGAAGAAAAATTGGCAATTGATAACGATGAAATTCTATCATATAAAATAAGTTGAGTTGAGTTGAGATAAGATCAAACAAATTAATGTATCTTTAATAATGTACCTGTAACGATAACAACCAAAAAAAAGAGAACAACATTTTAAGTACCCAAAGAAAAATCGTTTAATATTGATGTCATTGAATTGAAAGTATTGTTAACCGTCCATTTTTTTGTTGTTGTTGCAACGATTATATAAATTCATTATCAATTCGAATCGAATTTGTTTGATGGATCTATCTGTTATTGATAAATTTATTGATGATGATGATGATGACTTGGATTATCAAGATCAAGATTATATTGCTGATGTTAACAATAATGATCAAACAATTATTAATTATCAATCACAATTATTATCGGATGAGCAGCAAACATTTGAATTAAAAAATTTGATCAAATTCGATGAACAACAACAACAACAATATAAATTCTTTACAAATCGAATATTAATATTACAACAAACTTGTCAGAATCTTATTCAACGAATCAATACATTACAAACAGAATGTGATCATTATTGTCGACAATCTCGTACATATCATTTTTTATTTATACAAGAAAAACATGTTCGTCAAAGACTTTCAAGATTATTAACATCAAGTCAACGTGAATTAGAACACCATAAACGTTTTTGTTGTCCAAATACAAATATTAATCTTAATGAAAATTTATATCAACAAAAATCATTATCATTGAATAAAACAAGAAAAAAACGTCAAAAAATACGTACAACATTATCATCACAATCGACAAATAATTGTAATTATCAAATTGAACATGATGAAAAACAAAAACAATTGGAAAGTTTTTCACAATCAAATATTTCCGGATACAAAAATATTGATTATGATCAAAAAGAAAATTTGAATAATAATTCAAATCAAGAATTATTAAAGAAAAAATCCAATCTTATTTGTTATAATTCAATGAGAGAATGTATTAAATTTTCTAAATCATTATTGAATTTAAATGATGTGAATAATAATACATTTGTTATGAATAATGATATTCTATCAATCGACAATATGATTAAATATGAATCCGATATTGAACAGGTAAAACAATTAACAATGACAAAAAAATTACATGAATTTCATGGAATATTTTTTGATACAACAATTGAAAATGGTGTTATCATACGACAAGTGGCCAATAATAGTGAAGCACGTAAAGCTGGTTTACGACAAGGTGATCGAATATTAGAACTATGTGGTATTAATATGCGTATGGCTAATTATCGATTAGCCGAAAAAATAATCAATGAATGTAAAGATAATGAGATTATAATCAAAATTAATTGTTCGGTAAATCGATATGAATCGGATATTAGTTTAGCAATGGCCAAAAGTTCAATCAACAATTATAATCGAAAATTAATCAAAAAACAAAGTACTTTAGTACGACGAAATGCATTCAAACGTAAAAATCGAATATTACATCGATATTTTGAACGAAAACAAAATGAACATTCGGCATTATATCAGAATTATTTGCTAAATGTTTCATTACCTAGACGTATACATTTACGCCCATTATTTGCAAATAAATTAAAACTATGTGGTGGAAATGCTGTCGGTATATTTGTTCATACGATTGCTGAAGAATTGCAAAGATTTCTTCAGATTGGTGATCAATTACTTGAATATAATAAATATGATTTAACACAAGCTACAGCTGAAGATGCTGCCTTACATCTAGCCGAACCTATTGCTCAGAATACGGCAGAATTGATCGTTTTGTTCAATATCGATGGTAAGTAACCAAATCAATTAATTAAAAGATTACATGAATAATAACAAACAAACAAACAAAAAACTTAAGTATTTCACCAAATTCAAGAAAATCCTATTGGTGATTCATTTTATATTCGTGCTGAATTTGAACGATCATCCGCATGTAATAGTTCATTAAAATTCAATAAAGGCGACATCTTGTATGTGGATAATACATTATATGATGGAAAACCATGTCAATATTGGCGTGCATGGAAACTAGATCCATTTGGTCAACCAATCGAAAGTGGTTATATACCGAGCAAATATAATGCTGAATGTGAAGTGTTTCGACAATTTTTTCGTAATATGAATAATCATGATACTAATATGTTGCATTCTATTCGACATATATTTCATCGATTAATTTCAAACAAATCTAATGTTGATGATAATGATACACGTTTGTTGGCTTCATTTTCATCAATGTCAAATGATCGAAATGGTTATTATGATAATCAAAATTCATTAGAATCAATGGAAAATATTGATCTACAGGCATATCGAAGAGTTCGAATGATTGAACAGACTAAACCAAGACCGGTAATTATATTCGGTCCATATAGTCATACAATTGTTAAACGTTTAGAAAGTCAATTTTCATCATTATTTCGATTATGTCAGAAAAAAACAGAAACAATGATAATGATGTCATCGATTTGGAATGAAAAAAAAGATGATCATTATATTTCTTGTTCAAGCCGAGAAGATGGTGAAAGTAATTTCATTTCATTGACTGAATTAACTGAAATTAGTAATCAAGGTTTACATCCAGTCATAACAATCACTGGTAATAGTTTGGATGAATTTCATCAACAACAAATCTATCCGATTATTATTGAGCTTCGTTTTCGTTCGGCCAAACAAATGAAAATAGCTGTAAATAAATATTGGAATCATACAAGTAAAATATCATTACGTACAGCTAAAAATATTCATAAACATCATCAAAAATTATCTAAACAATTTGAACATATTGAACACGTTATTTTAAATGCAAATATTAATCTAATGAATATTATTAATATGATTGAATTTCATGTACTTATTGAACAAGACAAACTTATTTGGAAAGAGGCATGATGAAATCAATCAATCAATTTATGAAATTTTATTTATCTTTTTTTTAAAAAAATGAAAAAACCTGTTCAAATTCAATTTACGATTTTTATTTTATTCAATACAATTATGACCGATAGATGGCAATAATTCAAAAAAAATGTAACATGAATGAATTCAAAAACAAACAAAAAAAAATCAGATCAATTCGATAATCAAATCAAACAAGTAACACACCCTTATCTTATCGTTATTATTGTATCAGATAGATCTATTTGATGAAAGAAAAAAATAATATAAAATAAATAAAGTCATGCGTATGGCATCAATTCTGTTCAATTGTATAAATTTTCCACAATTAATAATTCACTACGTCTTATTTTTTTGGTTATTTCCGTTTTTGTTGTTGTTGTTGTTGTTTATCTCTATTTGCACAGATTATCAGTATTGATGATTTTCTCTCTCTCTCTCTCTCTCTCTAGTCTTTCATTGTTCCAAAGTTTAATCATCAATGATCAGGCCAATATTTGAAAAATGGAAATAAAATGTTTGCTTTACAATTTGACATACGACTGTTGTTAGTGTTGATAATTACCGAGGATACCGATACATATTTGATTTTGTATGTAATGTTTTTATTTTTTTTGAAGCAACACACGGACAACCCGATCATTTAGATTTGATTTACAGTTATTTTTCATTTCGTTTGCCATTTTTTTTCTCATTTTCCATTAGGTGGCAAGCAAAAAAAACATTCTTGAGATAAGAGATTTTTTTCAAAAATTGTTTTTTTAAATATTTATTTGCTACAGTCACATTTTTGATTTATTTGGATTTAAAGAAAAAAAATTATTATTATCGAGAAATCGTTTGACATCGTTTATTGCATTAAATTTTATCAACAAGATTAAACTCCCTCTTTGGTTGTGTTTGTTACCTGCAAACAACAAAATCATCAACAACAAAAAAATTGTACTTCTTTCCGATGATCACTTGAAATTGGATGATTTAAAAAAAAAAATGAAATCATTGCATCAATTTTCAATCAAAAATTACCGGTTGATTATTATGATGGATTCAATTTTTTTTTGTAAGCTAGTTATTAGTCATCAAACAGATTCATTTGATTAGATATTTATGAATCATCGAATCGATAATTGTCATCATTGAATTTATGAAATATTTAGTTAGTTACTGTTTATCATGTTCCATTTTGATGTTTAGAAAAAAATTTGGCTAAATATCCATATAGTTTCATCATTTAATCTATTCGATCATCATTATCACTATAATAATCATCAATGTTTGGAAATTTTTTTTTCTCAATCTCTCTGTTTAAAAACAAACAAACGAAAAAAAATCAAAAACATTTTATTCTTGTAAAAATGATAAATAATAAAAAAAAATTATCCATGGTTATAGACTGATGATTAATAAAAAAAATCTTCATAAAAAATCATCAAAATAAAATGAAATAACCAAAAAAAGAAAAAAAAAGATTTTTTCCTATTTTATCCAATGATGATGATGATGATGATCAGAATCCGGGCTGATTTATATGTCGTATCCTAATCAAAGTTGTTGTTGTTGTTGCAGGTTCCGACATGATAACTGATTAGTTTATGATTGTAAATATAAAAAAAAATTATGGATAGTCGAAATTGGTAATCATCACCTTGGTGATAATTATAATAATAATGATAATAATAATAATATAAACAATCTATACACAGGAGAGAAGCCAATTAATGAAATAAAATGATGAAGAAAATTTCATTCACATTTACATTAATATCAATGATATTATTCATGTATCGATTACAAACTATTATTGGATTGTTGTTTCTGGTTTTTACCATTGGCCAACGCCTCTCTTCAAATCTCATTTAGATATATTTTTTTTCTTTTACATTTTTTATTTGATGGTTTTTGAGATTTTGGATTATGTGTGTGTGTTTGTTTTATTGATGATGATCATCATCATTTCATTACAAAATAGATAAACCTTATTCTTCTACTACTTCAAATATGTCAATCAAACAATTCTCGTTGCCATTATCATCATATTATCAGGAATTTATTTGAATGTTATTTAGTTACAACGTTTACCTGCAATTTTTAAATTATAATCATTATCAGTATTTTGTTGTTGTTGTATTTTTTTTCTGGTATTAGAATGTTGTTTGGTGATAATAACCAATGGATGTGATGATGATGATGATGATGACAATTGTTATTTGTACTCCTTCTGATACTTGAAAAAAAACTTTTTCTTTCTTTTTTTTGTTGATAACATATCAATTGATATCACTCATTGACAATATTATATAGGAAGAAACAAAACAAAGAAAAAGGAAAGAAAAATTACTTCCAAGATCAGCAACAACATTATCAGCCAAACAAAACAAATGGTTAATTTTTGGTTGTTTGGTCCCTCATCTAGCTTCAATTGTGTTCCACACCTTTAAGCGTGTGCATCGACAAATTTTGAAAAAAGTCATTTTTTTTGTTTCTTTCCAAAATTTTTTTTTATTGCCTACATTTTGTGAATTATTTGTATGGTTTTTTTTCTTTAATTCGCTTATGGTAAAATCTTCATCTAATTTTTGTTTTTTGCTTTTGTGGTGTTATTTATTTATTTAAAAAAAACAAATGAACAATTTAAAATGAATGAAAATCATAAACCAAAAATTCTAGGCCCTTGCCTATTGTTTTTTATTTTGTTATTCTGTTGGCAATTACCACAATTATGTCAATCACAAATATCAAATAATGCACAAAAAAATGCAGCTGGTCAAAGTTCATTGAATTTACAAAGTATAAAAAGTAGTGCAGAGTTAAATCGAAGTAAGTTTGGTCTTTTTTGTGAAATTTTGACTTTTCAATTTTTCAATGAATAAATTAAATTATCGTTATAATCATAATGATTTCGGATGTGAACAAGTTTTTTGTTTCAATTTTTCATACTTAAAAATTCTATTTTTTTTTCCTCATTTCAAATGAACAGATGCACAATATATTCCAGGTAATCGACGACCAGTTGAACAACAAGGTCCGATTAATATGGGTGATTTGCAACGATTTCGTTCCGAATTAATGTATCCATTTACACAACAAGAATATCTTGAAATAACATCAAGTAAATCATTTCATGATCAACCATTACAATTTCAGATGCCATTTTTTGGCTTCCGTTATACTTATATTTGGATTCAAAGAGATGGTTATCTAGCATTTAGCCAAGGACAAATATCATATAATTTTCCAGTAAAATTTCCATTTCCACCACCAAATAAACAAAGTAAAGGTCATGATCCTTCAATCATTGCACCATTCTTTGCAATGCAAGAAGTTGAACCAAAAGCTCCTATGGGTGGTGTTTATCTACGGGTGATTGATCTAACAAAAGAAACCAATATAACATTACGTGAAGGAATATATGCCGATTTTCGTGATGGAATGATTGGTGCGGCTAATTTTCGTCCAAAATTTGCCATTATTGTTACATGGAAAAATATGACCTATACGAATCGTGCACCGGATTTTGATCGAGTTACCAATACCTATCAAGTTGTATTGGCAACTGATGAAGTTCGTACATTTGCTATGTTTAATTATGAACATATTGGATGGATAGCACCTTATTTTGAAGGTAAAAAAGGACCGCCAGCTTATGTAAGTAATTAATCAATAATGACAATGACAAAACAGTAATGTCATTTGTTATTGTATGTTTGTGTAACAGGTTGGTTTCAATGCCGGCAACAGTACTCGAACATATGAATTTGTACCTTATTCACAAAATGCTCGTATCTCCTATCTTCCAAGCCGAGGTTTTGGAAACAATCTTGAAGGAAGATATTTTTTTCAGATTGATGAAGAAATTTGGTCCGGTGCTTGTGTCGAAAAAGAATTAGATCCAAATTTACCAAGTCGATTACCGTTATCATTTTTTCCAAAAGTCGGTAATATGCTTGGTGGTACATTGGTCAATGTGACTGGTCCTTGTTACCAACCTGATGATATCATTGAATGTATGTTTGAAAATTGGCCTACTAAAGGTGTTTACATCGATAGAAATCGTGTTAGCTGTATTTCACCACCTGTCATGTACCATGGTTATGTTGATTTAACCGTACGAGTTAATGGCAATATTGATTTCTATGGTCGATTTTATATTCGTAAGTTTTCATGAAATTCGATTAAAATTTTCTTTCGGATTCAATTAACATTTGCATTAATTGTATAGAGCCACCAGATATCGCTCATGATGATATTTCTATTGTTGCCGATAATGATCGTCAAGAAGATCCAGTCGAAATTGAGATCAAATGGAAACCCGAACGATTGGCATTGGATTCACGAGCAGTCGGACAATTATCATTGTGGGGTTATCGTGAATCGGATAAAGTTTATCCATCATTAACCTATATCGATCTATTGGTTGATGGTATTAATATTATGGATGCTAAATATGTTTTGGACGTTCAACAATTTCGAACACGATATAATCCATCAGTTTCGGACATAACATTTGGCTTTTTAGCATTGAATATTACAAATCCAGATCAAGTTTTTGGTCTTGATTTAAGAAAATCTCCTATTATTTGGTCAAGAGCTATGCCATTAGCTTGGTATTTTAAGAAACAATGGGAAAAAGAGTTTGGTTCAAATGGAAAATGGAAAACCTATATGTGTAACAAATGGTTTGATCGAGAAACATTTCTTGATTATTTTGCTACCACTGTTTTCCGTTGTCCATGTACAATGACACAGGCACAAATCGATCGTGGTCATTTTTCACCCGATCTTCAATGTAATGTTATTGATCGTAAATGTGATACATTCCATCGTGGTGCATTACATTGTGTTAAAACTGGAAGACCATCGTAAGTTTTTTTACATTAATAATCATAATACAAATATATATTTTTTTTTTTAATTTTTGTTGTAAATAATAATTTAATCATAGAATTGGTGGTTCAGGACAAACTTGTTGTTATGATGAAAGACATGAACTTTTACAAACAGCCGATACAATGTACGGTGGACGACCATCACGTGCATATGTTTATGGTAAACATCCATTCAAATCGCAGATGATGATTCCAGTTTTGTCAGAATATTATCATGATATTGTGCCATTCTTTTTCTGTTGTAAATGGCAACCTAAAGAAGATGATTCTAAAACATGTCAAATGTATAATTATTGGCGAACATCACAAGATTGTTCATCCTATCAACCACCTGCCGTTGCATCAGTGTTTGGTGATCCACATCTTATTACATTCGATCAATTAAATTATACATTCAATGGTAAAGGTGAATTTACATTAGCTCGTGTTTCAAATCCAATGTATCAATTCAGTAAGTTATTCATTCGATTATGATTAATCAAACGCATTTGATAATTTAAAACAAAAAAAAAATAATTTCCATAGATCTACAAGGTCGTTTTGAGCAACTGCCATCACCAGACAATTTTGCACCAATGCCTAATGCAACATTTTTAAGTGCCATTGCTGTTAAAGATAATGTATCATCTGTAGTTGAATTTCGAATACGACCATTAGCGGCTAGTTGGCGTTATCAAATGTATGTTATAGTCGATAAAGAATATGTATTTTGGTGGGATGATTCGATGCGTCTACAAAATTTCTATGGTGTTTCATTATATCAACCAGCTGGTATTAAAAATATGTCACATATTATTGCAATGTTTGATTCGGGTGCTGGTGTTGAAGTTATTGCTAACAAAGGTCGAATGACTGTTCATGTTTATGCACCTTATTCATTTATGGTAAGCTATCAAAATAAATTATTATTATTATCTATAACTAATGATTATAAATCCAAACAGAATAGTACATCTGGTTTGCTTGGAAACTATTCAAGAGTACAACATGATGATTTTGTACTTCCAAATCAACAATATCTTCCTATCGATCAACCGCCTGAAGTATTGTATCGAGAATTATCAAGAGTGTATCGTGTACTGGAAAAAGTAACACCAAACGATATTAATCAACAGTCAACATTATTTTTCCATGATGCGGTACCATATTCCTATTATGATGGCATAAATTTTAAGCCTGATTTCCATCCACAATTACCAACATTTGCAAAACATTTGGAAGAAGATATGATCAATGTTTGCAGTGATTCTAGCTCTTGTCGTTATGATTATATAACAACATTGAATCGAGAATTTGCTGCGTTAACCAAAAGTGAAGAAACAGCATCAGCCATATTGGCTAAAGAAGCACAACAATTAGGTAAGCATGCAATAACATCGAATTTGGAACAATTTAATCTTTAAAAAATATTTTATTTAGTAATTCGTTGTCCAGCATTACCAAAACCATTGAATGGACGAAAATCTGAAAATCGTTATTGGCCGGGTATAATTGTACGATTTATTTGTAATGATGGTTATCGTTTAATTGGTTATGAAGCTCGACGATGTCGTGAAGATGGTCTATGGTCTTGGGGTGTTGATCCTGAATGTATTAGCCATGCTGCTTATATTGGACAAATTGCTGGTATTGGTTTTGGAATTTTAATACCGATTATTGTTCTATTGATTATTGTTGTATTATTTGTTGTATTGGGTCGTCGCGAAAATGATCATGAAGGTACATATGATACAAATGAAGATGGTGATGTTGATCATATACCTGAAGCTATTGAATTAACACCAAGCGAAAAAAATGATCATAATTCATTAGAAAATGATGATCAACATTAATCAATGCAACAAAAAAAAACAAACAACAACAATTTTAATAATCCATATTACATCAATTAACATTATTGCATCATTACTGCTGCCATCATCATAAATATTCATCATATTTTCATTTATTTTTGATAATTTTTTTTTTGTTGTTGTTGTTTGCAACACGAACGAATTATTTTCACAAACACCCTACTTTCGCTCTCATAGATATTTACACATTTTTGTATTGAATTTTCAACCAAAAAAAAACAACAAAATGACATATAAAAACCAATGAATTTTTTTTCTATTTGTTCTAATTTTGCATCACTTTTTTTTTAAAAAAAATCATTAAATGTAAAATTTTTTTTCGCATATAATTTTTAATGAAAGAAGAAATAAACATACACAAAAAAAAATCTTAGGATAAATCCAGAAAAATTCGAGTTAAAGTTTCCAAAAACACCTTATTGAAATTAAAATCAATATTTTGAAAAAAAAAATTTCTATTTTAATCAATCATGTGTATCCGGTTAGGTAAAAAATAAAAATCAAGGTCGAAATTTTTTCTTTCCAATGAATGATGATAATGATGATGATAAAAAAGATCATTCCATAATGGTCAGGAGGTCATCATGATCATCATCAAATTGAAGTGAAAAATTATATTTTTTAAAAAACAGGATCGCTTAAAAGATTTATTCCATTCTCCAATCGAAAATTTTAAAAAAAAGATAGATAAATTTTCTTGTTGACGCCAGGGCGCTATCATTATTTTTAATGATTGTTTTTACTTCAAAAATATTTATTTAGTTGAAAAACAGATCTAAAAATAAACACCATCTTTGTATTTTTTCATAAGATGATATTAAAATTCAATGAAATGGAAAGAAATAAAAAAGAAAGCCAGTCTTTTCTGGCCAGTTTTTTTTGATCTTTTCTGTTCGTCATGATAATGATGGTTATATTTTTTTTGATATTAAAAATTGAATTGCGGTCATGACCTTAAAAAAACCGAAAAAGAAATCAACGGTGTTTTGATTATTATACACGGAAAGTATAAACATTTCGGAAAAGAAACCACCACCATCATGATCAACAGCATCATGGTATTTAGGTTTTTTTTTTTTTTTTTTTTTTTTTTTTTTTTTTTTTTTTTGGTTCAAGTACATGGATAGTTGTATGGTGCAATTGTGAACATATAACCCTATCCCGTTTTTTTTNTTTTTTTTTTTTTTTTTGATATTAAAAATTGAATTGCGGTCATGACCTTAAAAAAACCGAAAAAGAAATCAACGGTGTTTTGATTATTATACACGGAAAGTATAAACATTTCGGAAAAGAAACCCCCCCCATCATGATCAACAGCATCATGGTATTTAGGTTTTTTTTTTTGGTTCAAGTACATGGATAGTTGTATGGTGCAATTGTGAACATATAACCCTATCCCGTTTTTTTTCTCCTAACAACTCTCAACAAATCCAGTTTTTTTTTCATTGAAATCTCATCATAATGTTTATTAGTATCTCAGTAAAATACCAACCACCACCATCATCATCATTGATTCTTGTTATTGTTTTTTGTTGTTGCTGTTGTTGTTGTTGTCAGATTGACCATCAGGTTTTTCATCCATATTATAGAATGTGGCCATCATTATTATCATTTGATAACCATGATCATCAGATAAAATAACAGGTCGCCCGATAATATGCCAAATGAACAAAAAAGAAAAGAAGTTCAAATGATGAGAATTGAACCAGATTTGGTGCTTACATTTCTCTCTTTTTCGGGTTTTTTTAACTCTCTAAACTTTTTTGAAAATCCTGTATACTCTCTTTTATCATCAACTAGACAATCACTGGTTTATGTACAGAACAACCAAAAGACTCACACATATAAAAAAATAAAATCATCACGATGATGGCCTTTATAAAACGGCAATAATTTTAACAAAATTTTCATACATTCAATCAATTTGGCCAATTGAACAACCATTTCATCTGAATCATTTCATACCTGTATCTCGTTGCAGTAATCCAAAACAACAAAAATGGCCATTCATAAAATTTTATTTATTAATCCAATTTTGATTATTGCTTCTTTGTTCATCTTTGGTAAGTTTATATTCAATTATATTAATATTTGTTGAATGAATTTTTGTTATCAAATCTTTTTTTATCAAATATTTCAAAGCAAATCATTTTCAGATAAAATTTTTATTCAAGAAAAAAAAATGATAACCAAAAAAAATGATGAAACTTTGAAATAATTGATAGATATTTGAATACGAAATTCTTCAATGATTTGTTCATGAATTTGTTGTTGTTGTTGTTGTTGTCAATTTATTTTGACTTTTAATGATTTTTTAAATTATTATTGTGTGCATTGTTCAATCAATTTTTCTAATTAAAAATATCTTTATCATCTTTATAATCAAACAAAACAAACAAACAAACAAAAATTTAATTTAGAAATGGCTCAAGCAATACAGGAATATCGTGCATGTGAAAATTCATTTCAATGTACAACATTTTGTAACAATAAAGGATTTAATGATCGTGTTTGTAAAACTGTAACAGTTGATGAAAGTCCAAATATTGATGGTACAGCATTAGTCAATCGTCGTGTTTGTTTATGCAGTGAATCAAGTAAGTGTATCTTGTTTTGAGGGTTATTAGTTATCATTTGATTCATACATTATCTATTTATTTTTCAATCCAAAAATTAAATTTCAATTTCAACTAAATAAATGTTGAACATGATAATTGGTGATTGAATAAAATATGCAATAGAAGAAGAAGGAGGCGGAAATTCAGCCACAGGTGAATATTTTAACTATTGGTTTTCACCCGGTCATGAATGTATCCGTAATGGTTCGGATAAACAATGTAAAGAATATTGTAAACGTATTCGTATCGATCCCGAAGTATGTCAATGTCGATTAAGTTCATGTAAATTTCCAAAAAAATACTTGAACGTACCACAAGCATTGGGTCATTAATCACTACAATTCTTTTGAACATTTCAAATTGATCATCTATGCATCCATCACCATTACCACGTACCCATTAGTAACACATCGTTATCATTATCATCATTAATAGAAAAACGACCAAAAATCAAAATTGGAACAAAAGAAAACCCAAAACTAAAAAAAAACCTACCGAATGCAATATTTATTCATTTAGACAACAAAAAAAATTTCCGAATTATCCGAATCAATCAAGATACATACAGAAAAAAACCTTCAACCTAAAATCCGAAATCTGATAATTCAAAAAATTATACCCGTCAATCAAAAAAACGCACATTGAATCGGTTATTTATTATTATCTTTTTATTAAAATTTCATTTTAAACGCACACACACACACAATAATATTTATTAAATTATGAAAATAATTTTGTTTAATTCTTTTTTTTTTTTGTCGATGTTTCCAATTTATTCCAAAAATTTAATGGATTATTTAATAAATAAAATAAAATGAATCAAATTATTTTAATTTCAAAATTTTTCTCCAAGATGGCAGCATTTGGCTCAATTATTAACGGCCAAAAAAAATATATTCAAGGGTTCAAGAGCGTTTAAATTTCAAAAAGAAAAATCCGTTGAATTTTTTTTGTTGTTGTTGTTGTTATTATTGGACCCTAACAAGCGCGCGCTACTGCTACTATCGTCTTTGGTGCTGAATATATAAGACCAGCTGTCTATTATGAAGTCCCAGAAAATTTGCTAGCGGCAAGATACCAGTGATACCAATATGTGTGTGTGATGATGATGATAAAAATCATGATTCAAACAAGACAAAATACGAAATGACGAACCGTATACGCGCAATGCCAAGCAAGTTAATTGATAATCATTTCAACGACTTTTTTTTTGGCGCTCAGGTTATGTTTTTATTGGCTTTCAAATGCACACCTTTGTTTCTGAATTATTTGAATAAAATTTACTTTTTCATAAAATTTTATATCCAAAATCCACAAATTCTTTGAATAATTTGTGTAATTATTAAACAATTATCCATTGGATTCTATATGAAATTTGTGAAAATTTCATTCAAATTGAATACCATCATCCACAATAAAATAAACGATTCTTCAATAACAAACGGTAAGTTTGAAAATATGAAATGTTTGATTTAATGACAACAAACGATGTTTGATTGTTTTTGCCTATTGTCATCATCATTTATGAATGAAAAACAAAATGAATGAATGAAATCCAACCATTTGATCATCATTATTTATTCAATTACAATGATGATGGCCAATGTGTCCATGTCCTTTGCAATTATATATTTGTCGATTTCATATGTCATCATCTTCCTGTCATACATTTTGTCGGTTTTCAAAACGAAAAAAAAAAATATTTTTTCATTGGTTTTAGTTTTCCTGATCAAAAAAAAACTTGCCAGTTTTTTTCTCTCAAAAATTCATTTGTGTTGGTCTTTGTTTGTTCAATATTGGTTAATTTTTTTTTAAATTTTTCGTTTGTGATCTTTTACAGAATATTCATTGATTGGGCAAATAAGCTCAAAAAAAATCATATCTGTTTGAATCCGTATTGAATTTTGTTTTTTTTTGTAGAGAAGATAAACATTTTTCAATAAAAAAAAACATGGGCTGTACATTAAGTTCATTAGACAAAGATGCTTTAGCCAGATCCAAAGCTATTGATAAAACTATTCGAGCTGATCGTGATCGTCAATCTCGTGAAGTTAAATTATTATTATTAGGTGCTGGTGAATCCGGTAAAAGTACCATATTGAAACAATTAAAGTAAGTTGTTAATTAATTAATTAAAAGTTAAATTTTTTTTATTGAAAATTCTTTTATAGAATTATTCATGAAAATGGATACGATAAAGAAGAATGTTATAAATATCGTCGTGTTATTCATGCGAATGCTATACAAAGTTTATCGGCCATATTGGATGCAATGAATTTTTTGAAAATTAATTTCGGTAATGCTGAATCATATCAATTAGTTGCACAATATTTTGATTATCCACAATCGAATCATATGGCACCGATAATTACAATGGAATTGGCTGTGATTATGAAAAAATTATGGCTAGATCCCGGTGTTCAATCCTGTTTTCATCGTGCACGTGAATATCAACTAAATGATTCTGCATATTAGTAAGTGATTGTTATCATCTAAAATAAATTTGTTTAAAAATTTTCTTCTGTTTTTTCGAATTTTAGCTATTTAAATTCATTAGATCGTATATGTCAACAAGATTATTGTCCAACACAACAAGATGTATTACGTACACGTGTCAAAACGACCGGTATTGTTGAAATTTCATTCCGTTTTAAAGGATTATTTTTCCGGTAAATATAACGATAAAATTTTCAAACTTTTCTTTTCATTACTTTCATCTATTATGCATTTCATAGCATATTTGATGTTGGTGGTCAGCGTTCTGAACGTAAAAAATGGATACATTGTTTTGAAGATGTGACAGCTGTTGTATTCTGTGTTGCATTATCTGGATATGATTTATTATTAGCTGAAGATGATGAAGTTGTAAGTTTTTCATAATTTTTTTTTCGTAAAAAATAAAAATCTGATTCAAATTTTTTTCAGAATCGTATGCATGAAAGTCTTCGTTTATTCGATTCAATTTGTAACAATAAATGGTTTTTCGATACATCAATGATTCTTTTTCTAAATAAAAAAGATTTATTTGGTCAGAAAATTAAAACATCACCATTAAATATTTGTTTTCCTGAATATACAGGTATTATGACATATTTTTGACAAATAACATTTTTAAAAAAACTTGTAATTTTTTTTAACAGGACGAAACACATATGATGAGGCAGCCGCATACATACAAATGAAATTCGAATCATTAAATCGTAATCCAGATACTAAAGATATTTATACACATTTTACATGTGCAACCGATACGAATAACATACAATTTGTATTCGATGCTGTCACTGATGTAATATTGAAAAATAATCTACGTGAAATTGGCCTTTATTGAATGTTTGTTGGTTTTTTTTTCTCATTTCATCCGAAACAATTTCATCTATTTCGATCATTTTATTTTTCATTTTTCGAATCAATTAATTACTGTGAACAAATTTGTAATTGACCATTGCTCAAACATTTGCACGACAATAATTATTGAATAAGATTTTGAACATTTTATATACAAAATAATTTTATTAATAATCTATAATTCTTCTCTCTTTTTTTTCAAACATATAAATTCCAATTACTTAGTTATCATTTTACTTTATTCATCGACAAATTACTATGTGCCATAACAAACAGATTTATTTCCACAATTTTCATTTTTGTTTCTTTCTCATTTTATTTTAACGTTTATTTTTATTTTATTTTTTTTTTATTCTCATTTTTTTGTTTGGAATAATTAAGTCAAAACTAATAATGATACACAAAAGCACAAAAGCGGAAAAAAACAAACAAACAAAATTTTTTTTTATTTCTTTAATGTTTATCTGATGTTTGATGGATATGATTGGATTCCGGACCAACCAGATAATCATTACCTTCATATGGTCCTAACGAAACGGTTGGACCGTTTGGTTTATGTCCATTATCAGCACCCGCACCATATGAAGCAACCAAAAATGTTGGTTCTTGTGCATTCGGTTCATTATGATATAATGTTGGTGATGATTGATGTTGTTTATAACCGGCTGCAACTAATGCCTGTTCCTGATAATTAGGCAATTCTTTTGTTTTAACTGGTGTTGATGAATAACCTTCGGTGGCGCCATTAGCTGAATAATATTCAGCCGAAATTGGATTGGAATTCATTTTTACATATGCTGGATCACTATTAGCTGTTCCCGGTTCAGTTGTTTTAATTACAGCACGAAATCCATATTTATCAGCTACATATTCAACTTCACGTAATATACCATTTTTATCTTTATATCCATACGAACCAATTACTTGATGTGGACTGGAACTTTTTTCATGACGCCATTGTTTATTACCATAGCCATCTGTTGACCATGAAATAAAACATCATTATTTTAAATTATTTTTGATTGATTGATTAATTGTTACCTTCAATATTATAACCAAAACCATATGGTTGATGAGTATATGAATGTTTATCATCATGCTGGATTGAAATTAAATCAAATCAAAAAAAAAAAAAAAAGATTTAAATTGATTTTTGATCTAATTCTTACAATTATCAAAGAAATAAAATGTTTAATACCTTTATAGATTCTTTGTCATAATCTTCTGTCACTTTTATATATTCATCACTAGGTTTTGCATATTGATCAATATTATTATTGTTGTTTGAATATTGAGCATCGATTGTCTGTTTTAACAATTGTTTGGCATGATAATCATTCAATTGTAATGGTTTAAATATCACTTTTTGATGTTGAAGATGTGATGGAATATTTTGCTGCTGTTGTTGTTGAACTACTGTCTGTTGTTGTTGATGTGAATGATGATGTTGTTGTTGTTGTTGTTGCTGTTGTTGATCGTCTGGTTCAGAATCAAGATATTTACCATCAATCATTGATGGTAAATATAATGATATTGATAATAATAATAAATGACAATAAATTGTAGCCGATTGTAATATGGTTACAATTCTAATCTAAATGTAAAATGTATAAATAAATAAATTCAATTCGAATCATAATGAATTGAATTTGAATTTTATCATTTTTTCAAAAAAACAAACAAACAAACATACCTGATTGATATTGAAATGTTTTCGATACATAATGGATTGTGTTTGGATAAAACAAAAACAAAAATTAAAACTATTGCATATCAACAACCAGAAAGAAAAAACAAATAAGTTTGAAAAAATGAGATCCGAATTCAGTTGGAACAATCGTATTTATACCATTTTTTTGTGTTTGTAATCATTGTTTTTTTATCATCATTTCGTCATCACCAGTTTTTTCTTTGGTTATAATTTTAGGTAGTTTTAAAAAATAATGCTTGACAATCATTTTAGCATACACCAGAAAAAAAATTGTCAACAAATATGTATAATGATAGATGAATTATTTAGGAAATTTGCTTGTTATCTTTCATAAAGATTATTGAATGAAGAAAAATGAAAATTGTTGTTGAAATGAAGAGTCCAATTATCTTTCAATTTTCATGCTTTATTTTTGTTTCTATTGTTTGTTGTCTTCTATGAAACTTCATCAATATATTAGATAACGAAAGAAAGAAAAAAATGGGTACAGTTTTTTAATCTCATTGTCGATTGGAAAAAATTAATACATTTTTATGTTTACCTTTATGTTCAGGCCGAATGTCTAATTAGTATTCGAAATTTAAATAATGTATATTTAGAAGAAACAAATTTTGACAATTAAATAAGCAAAACTGGAAAAGAAAAGCAAAACGGTTTTGTTTTACCAATTTTCTGTAATAATTTAAAGTGTATCTACAAAACAAAACAAAAAAATTTGTTGAACCGTTACTCTTCTCTATTTGATTTTTAGTAACGTAAAACAAAATCATTTTCCTTTAAATCTTTCATCCAAAACGTTTAAAATTAATTATCATTATACAAATTGAAGAAAAGTAAACAATCCATTTGTTTTTCATTCATAACATTTGTGTTGAACATTTTGTTTTAATTGATTTTAATTTTCATTTTTTTTTTCGACGATTTAAATAATAATATTACAAATATAAATCAATTCGATAAGGTTGTTTCAAAAATAGCCCCTTCTAATGAGAAAGCCTTTTTTTTCTCACTATCATGATAAATTTTCGGATTTTTTTTTTGGAAAGTTTCATTCGAAAAAAGCCCAATTTTTTTTTTGTTGGCAATAATCATCATTGTTTGTTATTCTGCTATTATTCCGGATATTATTATTATATAAAAAAAAATAATGTCGTGGGTGTCTTTTGATGGCATTTTTATTGTATTTTTTTGCGGTCAAAAATAAATAAATAAATGAAATTTATTTACTTTGTTCACTGGTATACATTGCCTAGAACCAGAAAACAAAATTCAGCTTCTGTTTGTTTGTTGTTGTTATTTAAAGTTCAATTTAATGAAATTATTTTCCAAACACACACACACACACACACACACATACCATTTTCAATCAACCATAAATGTTTCATTCGTTTTGTTCAATTATAATCAACAAAAACAGAATAGAAAATTATCCAAACATCTACGTCAATACAATTTCAGTAATGTTGGTTAGAATTTTTTAATTGTTTACCTAAAATTATATTTGAAATGAATGTGATATGTGTAATTAATATCTATAATGATAATGAAGTTCTTTTCAGATCGAATTTTTTTTCCTGTAAAAATTATTGAAAACTATTGAATTTTAATGATAGAAAAACAAAATAAAGATGGATTCTTGTTAAAAAATAAATTCTTCCATATGATTATTGTTGACGTCATCATTATATCATTATAAAAAAATTACTATCAAGCATCATCATCATCATCATCATCATCATCAATATCATTTTGAATTCATACGTCACAGAACTATTTTGTCGACGTATGATATATATTTGAATGTCTGATGCGGTTATTATTGTTTTCTTTTACAACCCGTCTGATAATGACAGTCCTGAACTTTTTATGTACTGATTGATAATGATATATACCGAAAAAAAAACGAATCCAAAATTTTTTTATTTTTTTTTATATTCAAAATTATCAAGTTTCCGGTATAAAATATCTGAATATGTTTAGCATTTAAATATACAGAATTATTTTCATGAATTCACAATATAGTTAATACAATTTAATGATAATGGTAAAATAGAAACAAAACTAATCCATCACCTAATAAATAAAAGTGATTAGCATAAATAATTAGCATAATTATGAATTACTGTATAAAATAAATACTAAATTCTATTCTATTTTTATCTCCAATGGATTTTTTTTTCATTGAAATATAAAACAATGACTTTGATCGATTCGACAATCAACAATCAAAACAACAACAAAACAAAAAAAAAGCAAACAAGAGCAAATATTATAACCAAATCGATAATTCCTTTGACGTAGATTTTTTTTCATGATAATAATCACCCACTAACAAACAAACAAACAAACAAACAAACAAAATTGTAGCAAATATACTTGTAGATAATTTGATTTACAACAATTTTCAATCAATGAATGAATTTATCAAAAACAATTTCATTCAATTTTGTTTCAAATTGTAAATTTTATTGTTTTGTTTTTTTTCCTAGTAAAAATAACCATACGGATGATGATAAATAGATAATTATACTGTATTGAAACAACAGATAATATTTTCCTTTTTTTTCAATTTTATATTCTTCATATTATCTATCTTTTATAATCAGAACTGTAAACCAGATATTGTTATGATGATGATGATGATATTAGCCAACGTGGCCACCAGCACACACACACACACACACACAAACAACAAATTCCAAACAGACATTGATTACGTCATTAAGGATAAAATTATTATTATTATTATTAATGAATCAAGTCTCTCTCTCTCTCTCTATACATTACACCTTTATGTTTTCTTTTAAAAAAATAGTGGATGTGTATCGGATATAGAATCCGATACACATGCGTATCTGATTTTATTGTTCAACAATCTATTTATGTGAATCTAATAATGTGATTCCACATTTTTTTAAAAAAGAAAATACCAAATGTTTTGAATAAAAACAAAAAATTCAAAAATAAAAATTTGTTTATTAGTAGATCAGTATCATCATCATCATCATCAAGATAGATTGATTCAACAGAATTATATTTATAAAAAAGCAACAACAATATACGGCTGGATAATTTTATTCTCATCATCAACAAATGAAATAAACATTTGAATGAGAATCGAGAATTTTCTCAATCATTCTTGAATTAACATACATATAAACACACACATAAAATATAAAATGAAATTCCTTTCGATAAAGAGTATGCTCACAATTATTCATTATTATTGTGCATTCCATTCCATTATGATAGCGCCGACGCTAACTAAAAAAAACAAACTAAATAGTAATGATAATAATAATGTGATAGTGGTTATAATGCAGGTTGGTTATTTACAGCATCGATCAATATATTTGAAAGCTAAATATCAAAACTGCATACATAGATAGATAGATAGGATGTAATAGGATAAAAGGTAAAATGTAAAAAGAATCATTACAAGTAGTGGTAAGATTTTTTTTTGAAAAACATGATAAATGATAAAAAAAACCTTTTTTTTTTGTTTGAAGAGGTGGAATATTTGGATTGAATTTGCTTACAAACAATAGCGAATCCATTCTTTCATTCATATATATTGATGAAAGAACTGAAAATTTGCTACATACAAAATACATTTTCTTTAAAAACGCATGCGGATTCTAAATTTCATTGAATTGTGATTGTGTTGTTGTTTTTTTTGACTACATCTACACCTTTAATACCATACATGTGGAAAAACGCATATTACCCAATGGAAAAATATTCATCGGAAAAAAACAAGAAAAGAAAAAACAGTTTCAATTTTTCTTCTGGAACGAACAGTGTGTGCGTTTGTATATTTTCAACACTGTATATTCAATTCTGTGATTGTTTTTGTTATTATTTTTTTCTATATTTTGGCGCGGATATAAGAAAAAAAAATTGTTTAACAAAATTTTTGATCAAACTTTATCTTTTCCGTTTCGTCAAATTCACCTTGAATCTCCTATTTTATCAAAGAAAAACAAACAATAGCTTCCCATTGAACAATTTGAACACCAAAAAAAAATGTAAGTAAACTTCATAGTTTCCCCCCAAATACACCATACTATTCTCAATGATATTTGGCAACAGAATATTGTTTGTGTACATTGGATCTAAACTTTTTTTTTCCGGTTTTAGATCTTTCCTGACAAATTCTTATTATTATTTTATCACTTTTAAATTCGAATACACCAGAATCGATAATCATCTTATCGTTAAATTCTAGCAATAACAACAACAACAAACAAACAAAAAAATGTAGAATATTAAAGCTAAAAAATAAACAAACCGTTACTTATCGAGTGGGGAAAAAAATGAGAAAAGAAAATATTTCGAAAATTATTGTGGGAAAAAAATCGGGTCAACATTTTTCTCTATTTCCTTTTGAATTCTTATTTTGTTGTTGTTATTGATATATTCTGTGTTGATGTTCAGTTGGTTTTTTTTTCTGTTTGTTTTAGTTTGTAATATTTTCCCTCAAAATCAATCGCCTACCCAAAATCTTAATTTGATATTATGAAATAGAAAATTCCAATTGAACGGTAATTATATTATTTTGTACATTGTACAAAAACACAGCAAAATAATTGATTACAATAATCTCTTCATTAATCAATCTCATTAATGAAAATGATTATTATTTCGTGTTTGGAAAAAAATGGTGAAATAATATTTTTGCGGTTGTCAACAACATGCTCGATACATTAAATAATAAATTTTTTTCTTGTCAATTTTTTTTAAATTTGAAATGACCAATTTGTAAATCAATTGTATATTTATTATGATTTCCCCAAATAAAAACTTTATTAGTTTTTGTTCATTAAAAAAATGATTGAACCATTATCATTATGTAACAATCGAAATAATATTTCATTGTTTTCTTTTTTTTCACTTCACTTTCTTTTTTTCGCTTGCATGTCATATTTGTGTTTGATGTTTATGTGTCTGTCGGTTTGTTTGTTTATGTCTTTCCTTACGGGGATTTCCCCGATTTTCATACATTCAATTCAATGATTTTAAAATATTAAATTCAATATGAAACATCTCTGTAAACAAAATCTGACATTAAACAAAACAAAAACAAAACAAAAAATTAATTTCGATGACAATCATTTTTAGGTTGCAATCGATTCAATTCGATTCGATTCGATTCGATTCTATTTCATTATTTATCAATCAAACAAATAATTATAATTTTGATGATGATGATTGGTAATCCTTATGATAGAATTGGAAAAGGAAATGAAATTTTTCGTTAATTTTTTTTCAAATTAAAAAAATAACAATGAAACATATTTTGATGACGAAGAAATTCACGGAAAATTTCAATTTTTTTTTTGTTTGTTAATGTTGTTGTTGTGAATGTTATTTGCTATTGGGAAAATCATTTTTTGTTTCTTGACCATGAAAATCATTTCTGAAATTTGATCTAAATTTATTTATTTTTATTTTTTTGGAATGTGGACAATTTCCACCAATCAATCAATCAATCATTCGATGAATCAATTTGATTCTCAATTGATTTTGAAATCAAAAGTGATAAATTTTTTTTTTCTTCTTTTTCGTATTATTTTATCATTGAATTATTATCATTAAAATTTGTTTCTACTTCAAATTTCACGTGCCAAAAAGGTAATTGCTAAATATGATTGGTTATAGATATATTTAATTGATTTTTCAGCACATTTATTCATTATTATTATTACAACTATTTGATTTCAATGGAAAAATGATTGCTCCCATAAACAAAACAAAAAATAAAAAATACAAACTGAAAATAAATAAATTATTGATTGATTTAAGTGATTGAAAGATGATGAATATATACTTTATACTGACACATATCAATTAACTATGATCATATAAAAAATTATCATCTCTTTTTTTTTACTAAAGTTATACTTTTTGAAGCATTTCCAAGAATCATCATTATTAAAAATAATTGATTCGATCAATCAATCAGATTTGATTTTCCTTTTCGCAAAAAAACAACAACATTTATTCTTATTGAAATATCAAAAAAAAAAAAAAAAAAAAAAAAAAATTATAATCAAAAAATCTGTAAAATATCAATAAATCAATCGATA